TGAGATAGATGAGCCTACCGTTCTTAAGTAGTTGTTTTATGTTTGAATGTATTCCCGTAGGAAATACCACAATCATTATGCTTTAAATCGCTCTTTTGTTGCAAATACTGGACTGGTATTTCTCTTGATTTGCTTAGGGAACATGATCTGTCCTGAGTGGGAACAGGGAGCTTACTCAAGCTATGTTCAAAATAGATGTGGAAGGACGACACAAGCAGAAATTTGTTGATTTTACCCTTTATTCTCTATAAGATTACAGGTGCTCCCGCACTTCGGGATACAGAGACCAACCACTTGTGGTCTGAACGTAAAAATATAAAACTACTAACTAAAATTTTAAATAAGAGCTAACTTTGAATTAGTTTACAAATGCCTAACGCTAAGACTAGCCTTTTAAATTATTATGTAGGTAGTACGCAAACTGCCGAACTACAATACGTTTTAAATATCAAGAGGACTAAACCTCTGGCCTTAAAGGCGGCCAGCAGCTGATTGAAAACTCGTGCAGAATACAGTGGGAAAGGCTGCTCACTTTCCCTTTCTCTCTCTCTCTAACTCTTGGCAAAAAGCCACAACTTAAATACTTGGGCGTTAGCGAGTACAATTTGCATAGACAAGTTAACACATTTAATTCTGGGCGGAAGGGGAAAATAAGAAGTGATAGTAAAGTTTTAAAATAAATAAACGTTAGTAAAACTTAAGATCCTTACAATACCTAGAGTGGGAATTCTACTCGTATATATGGAATAACCAGTGACAAATTTTATAAAATAGCAGTCTGAGAAGAAAACATGAAAAACGATTGCCATCCGTAATTTTCAAACTCTGGCATTTTCAGCTATAGGATGGTACACGCTTTCGAATACTAATTATGGTCCGCGGTCCGCAGTTTGAGAATTTCTGAATTAGCTCATCTAGCAGTCGTTAGAACACATCTGGTAATATAAGAAATCATGCTTAATTGTAAAAAGGAAGTCTGTGACTGGGGCTGTCATCAAAATTAAATAGTAGTAACAAGAAGTAGAAAGATAAACGGGAATATAATGATAGAACCCCGAAATGTCCTTCTTATTACCATTATAGATAGTTCTTTTCATAGAGTAAACTATTTAAACAAATTTAAAATCGTAAAGCTTTTGACTCATGCTTTTGAAAAATCAGTGGTTCAATTATATGTAGCTAAAGCAAAACTCTCGTGATGGTGATATTTCAATAATAACTGTCACTGGTGTTTTTAAAAGCAATTAAAATAACTCTCAATTGCTTCAGCTCTAGATTCAATGGATATCTATGTCTAGTAACACTGAGATCCAAGAAATCTATCTTGTATGCATTGAAATACACATGGTGTATTATGAAAAATTCTGTAGGTCGCTTCTCATACATAACGTGTACAAATATGTATCAGAAACGTCCTTTTGTGATGGTAGGATACTGCAAGGCTAGTAATTACAGCTTTTAAACGACAACTAAGCTTAATTACCTGAGTGTATATTGCATTTATTTATGTGTATTATTTGATTGCATGCTGCATTATTACTTCAACTGTAATCTAGTATGTTGTTTGGGAATGTTGAGAGTGGTTACATAATGGGATACATAGTAGAGCAACATAGGAGAGTTCTGGTTGTAAGTGATACAACATAATGTTTTAATTTATACAGAATAGATGAAAAGTGTTCGTCAACTCAATACATATGAAAAACACAAGTTGAGATAATGTGTAATAACTTGACACTGATAATTCTTGCGTGTTATCAATCATATTTACTTGACATTATATGCGTCACATGTAACTGAATACGATTCGATGTATTTCATCATAATACATGCGGCCTAAATTGGAATTTCACACTCTAAAGGACTCCCATTTCTGTTCCTGTCTTCGACAGCTAAATCCACGCTAGAATTTCGAATACCATAACGCCTCACCACTCTGGAGAGGTATATAGAGTATCTAGAGAAAAATATTGCTCATTGGATATAGATACCACTCACCAAATTTCAGTAAGATCAACGTTGAGGACAGAGGCCAACTCTGATAGCTGTTAGGGATTCATGTATCTATTTATGAAAATTAAGTTTTCCTTTATGTCCGTTATTAAGTTACATAAGATTTAATTATCTATTAAAATATTAAGAATTTTTAAATTTTCAATTAATGCCAAGATGAAATTTTTTATCTTTACAAAAGGTTTGAATTATTAATATATAAAAATTTAAAATTCTAAAGGTGACAGCAAGTTTATCAGATATTGTCTTCCTCCTTACATCATGCCTTCGTGGTGTAAGGTTAACACACTCAGCACGTATTCGAAGGTCCAGGTTCGAGTCCCGGCTAGGGCATTGCTCATTTTTAATGTCTGTTGCTTCAAATTAACCTAATGACTCTACAGTGGCGCCCGAACTAAAAAGGTGATGGGTGGTAATTCGTCCTCATCAGGATTTGGCGATTCGGTCCCGTAATCCCCAGTCGCGCTTTTAAAGGGGGAGTATATAAGGTATTTTCTCTGTCCTTTCCGAATGGCTTCGTGGTGTAACGGTAGCACACTCGGCACTTATTCGAGAGGTCCAGGTTCGAGTCGCGGCGAAGGAACTGCTCTTTTTTCATGTCTCTTGATTCAAAATAATCTAATGACTCTACAAGTTAAGGTAATCCAAGGCTTTGTAAAATCCATTCGCTCAACTACTATTGCTAAACTTTGTTTATGTTTTGTTATCTCTTACTGGCAAGTATATTATTTGAAGAAATTAACTAAGAAGTTTAAATAAACATGCTAATACCAATTCAGCTTCAAAGTTTAAAAGGTTAAACGTCTTTCACCATTATAAATTGTGACCATACATTTGACAGACGTAAAGGAAGATTATCGCTGTGTCTAAGTACAACAGAGACTAAGAAGGGAAGGGTGTAAAAGACCCTTTATTTTAAACTAAAATAGATCAATATGAGGCGTACCTGATGTTTAAAAAGCAGCGAGCATTTATGGTGAGAAACTCAAAGTTGAAATTAAAATTGTAATATCTAATAACCAAAAGCTACACAGAACAATTTAATAGCAAAGTTGTCTGAACGTGAATTTAACTATCGCCAAGTAGTAATGCAACGCTGAGGACTGCAACACTTATCTAGAAGAGTAAACCTAATAAAGTAGGCTTCAAGCGGCAGAACGCGCTCTAACTTAATATTCTCAAACCTTCATTTAAATACGCTCAAACTAATTTGCATTCTGGAGGGAAAATGGAAAGAAAAAAGTGACAGTAAAGATTCCAAACATAAAATAACTAGTTAAAAAATTAACTAAACCTTACAGAGTTTTCATGGAATGCCATACATTTCCTTACTACATTATATATGATTAATACGAAAACAAATATCTTTTTCTGGCATGGTGTTTCAAGTTTTGGATTATAAGCTAGCATTTAATGTAAAGTGAGTAAAACTAAGAAGTATGTTCCGTAAAAATAAAAATATTTAAATGTTGTGTGTAAAGTTAAAAGTATTTCTGCTGCTAGGTCAGACATTTGGCAAACATAATCAGTGTCACAAATTGTTGAATTTTGCAACTAATTAAAAACCCTCGATTTTCGTATGGAATGGGGGATTTTCGAAAATTACCGATTTTTGTGTGAAATAAAAGATGAAACTTTACGGATTTGGAAGAACCATAGATTGAATTAATGAAACGAATGAATTTTGAGGAAACGCTATAGAATACTGGATATAACGCAGTAATAAATAAACATAAATCATAGGTACTAGTATTATCAGAAACGGAAGTCCCAAAAATGTATTTCATTTAAGAAGTCTCCCTTTTAAATCAAATGAAATAAGAAAGAGCTGCCTGCTAAAAGCTAAGTGTATAGAACTTCTACTAATGGCATCAGAGGTAAATTCAGTTACATTCTTTTTAGCTGAAAAAAATACCTTACCGACAAAATATTATAACCGTACTCTAGAAATCCAGAAAAGTTATAGTTAAGATGTTCACTTAAACGTTCTTTCATGACATGGTAACGTAATAATATGAATTATACTTCATATTATGTTTCAAAAGGCAATAATAGAATTTATATTGCTATGAAATTGTGGTTTCGCAGAATAATGTTGTTATAAATTGTGTTACGAGATTTTTAGTTCATTTATTGAACATGCAGGCATTTTTACTTTTATTGTCATTTAATTATTTTCACTAACTAACCATTTTGAGTTTACATCTTGCAAAAACATAACTCTTTTGTTTAGATTATGTATTATGTGTGAATTATAACTACTATAAGATATTTTCTTTCAATATACTTTGAATTTTAATAGTATTTTAAAGACATATTTTATTCTAACCAATTATTTTTAGTTGTGAAAACTTTCCTCTCTCTTTTGATTTCAGTTTCCTGCCAAAATGTAAATTTTAATGACATAGTATGCAAATCTAAGTGTGTTCGGAATCAGTATTTAAGCGGAGGCTTTAAGAGTAGTAAGAGCAGAGTTAGTTCCGAATTGATGTCGCGTGTTTGAAGCAACCTTATACTCGGATAGTTGATGCTTAGCCACTGTCTTGAGATTGTATTGATATTCTACGTTCGGCTTTGCTATGTGCAGCCGATTTAGCGGTGTAGGTAAATAAGGAGCCAGTCTTGTATCCCATCTTCATTTATTGTGATTTTACAATTTTTAATTTTTGTTCGAGTTACTTAGCCACAAGTGATGGTAATTTCTGAGCACCGAGTGAGTGCAATCTTTGTTTAGTTCAATTAAAAAGGTTATTTAAACCTCCTTCTGCAATATCTGTCCTTCAAAGACATAGAGAGAATTCGCTAATCAGTCTTTTCAGTACAGCCTATCCTTGGATGATCCCGAAGCAAACAAGAAGACTATACAGTATATACTTAAATTATGCATCAAGTACCATGACAGGTTAGAGGTACTTAAAAAAATTCTCTTGCCAAAACCAAATAACTAAATGGGGTGTGAACGAAATAAGGAAACAAAAAATAACTCATTAAGAAATCAGTAAAATGTAAGTTTTATTTTTAACTCTCGTAAGCACTTCCCGCAGAAAATGTTTTTCATATTCCTTACAAAACTACCAATGTTCTTTAAATCAAATAGGTATAATTGTTAATTTCATTATTTTCGTTTAAAGCGAATCTATTTGCTACAAAAGTATGCCATTTCTTCAATACATTTAAGGGAACCAAAACAAACAATACGGCATAATAAAGCTTTATGTTTCATTCATTTTTAATGGTATTTAATGGAATCTTAGTTTCCGCCGCCAGCTCCGCCACCACCTTCAGCTCCGGCTCCGGCACTGGCTTCCATACCAAATCCAGCTCCTGCTTCTCCTCCTGCGCCTCCTTCTCCGCCACAACCACCTTCACCACCTCCACCTCCACCAGCTCCTGCTCCTCCTCCTACAGAAAATCCAGCTCCAGCTCCTGCTCCAGCTTCTCCACCCGCTTCTCCGTTGCCTTCCTGAGCACGGGCTTCAGCAACGAGGATGAAAATTGCAAAACAAAGGGCACATTTCTTGAGCTGAAATAAAAAGAAAGTTATATGCCTTTCCATACATTTTTTAAATGCTTATTTTATTTAGCATAGATTCAGAATAATAAAAATAATTCTTTTTTTGTGCAGTTTTAGTAAGAAATAATTCTATTTATAACCAGGTGTACAAAATAGAGGCTATTAGTGCAGGTTTGTTTAGTGCAATGTCCATCTCCCTTTTGCATTTAAATGTTTAAATAAATTAGATCAAAATCATAACATAGTTGCATTTCATTTAAAAATAAAACTGAAGGGCTTCAGATCTTAACGGTCGTCCAGAAGGGTTTGTTAAAGCTTTCTACGCTCTCGCTGAGGGACGCAGTCTACCAGACTGCTATTGCACTGATTCCTACCAAATTTCTTTTTTTTTTTTTTTTTTTTTTTTTTTTTTTCTTTCTAACTTCATTTTCTAGCATCGTTTTCTTCGCACTTACGCCACATATTGCTCAACAACTAAAACGTAATTTTGTTAAAAACTGTATAGTAGCATATGTCCTGATACAGTGTTACATGTTGGCATACGTTATTTTATCTTTTCTGTTTTATTTTCGGTTTATCATATCAATATTCAAATTGCTTAGTAAGAATGCTGGAAAAAATATTTTTTCTCTATTTTGTTACTTACATTTTAAGTGCGATTTGTTAAATATCACGTTCTTGGCACTTACGCCACATAAAATTCCAATCAACGGCAAAATCACAAAATATCTAAAAATGGCGTATCTTTAGAATTTCCGACAGAGTGCTGCAGGTATGCATATCTTTATATTCGCTCTGTTATTTCTTTAAAAACTAGCCGCTCGCGCGACCAGCGATCTAAACCAATTATCATAAAAAATCATAGTATAATGATTTTAATAAATCCAGCTAGTGTAATTTCATAAAAAATTGAATATTTCTAATTAGACATCTCATGATTTTAATACATCTCTGTTTAAATTTATCACATGAAAAAGCAGAAAAAATATCTTAAGAACTATGTTTATTGTTTTTGAATCAACTTAGTGCATTACACAGTAACGTTCCAGGTTAAATTACGTATTTTTGGCTTTACTGAATGGCAACACACTGGCACGGAGAAGATAAAAGTATTTTTTTTTTCTGGCCGCAGCAACATATCGCTTTCATAGAGCCCAGTTTGCTAATTAAAACTAAAAAATAATTATCTTTCATTTTTACGAATGGCAATAATCTCGTGCGCTGGAGATAAAAGTGTTTCATTTCGAACAGTGTTGCTATTGTTCGCTTTCAAATCGTTGAGTTTTCCTAATCACAAATTCATTAAAGTTTTGCAAACAATTAAATAAATGATGAAACCAATTCCAAGTTCAAAATTCCGATTTCCAGGTGCACATATTCCAATAAAAAACTACACTATTCAAAATCTAATGGCTCTAAGTTCCTTCGCTTTTCCAGAATGCAAGCAAAATATGGAGATTCTTCATTATGTAATTTCTTTAAAATGAATACAGGATGATAATATTTGGGAGCAACAATTTGAAAAATTATTGGCGGCTTTTCCGAAAACCGACGCAAAATCCCATTTCGAGACCAATAGCCCCATTAGACCAAAAAAAGTGAACTCAGTAAAATGCCAATCATCATATTTTACAAACAATGTTGCATATTTTCAGTAAACCTTAAATAATGTTTGCTATCATTCTTGCATAAAATTCAGGCTAAAGCATCATATTTAAGGAAAGCTAGAAAAAATGCTGTTTTTCAGATAGTAATTGTGTAAGGTATTTCTCCCACTTTCTTTGCGTACCTTTGGGGTGTGGTGGTCTGCACACTGGGTTTGTATTCCAGAGGTCCGCTGTTCGATCTCCGGCAAAGGCATTGTTAAATTTTCATCTTTCCTGCTTTCAAAATACCTAATGTCTCTACAGTGGCTCCCGAACTAAAAGGGTGTTGGATGAGGATTCTCCACACCCAGGATTTGGCGATTGAGTCCCCTAAAAAAAACCCTGTCACCCTTTAAAAAGGAGGAATATATAAGATATTTCGCGTGCCTTCGTGGTGTGGTGGTCTGCATGCTGGGCCGGTATTCCAAAGTCCGTGGTTCGATTTCCGGGAAAGGCGTTTGTTCAATTTTCATCTTACCCAGCTTCCAAAAATACCTAATGTGTCTACAATTGTATATATTAAAGACAAAAATTTTCCTATTTCACAGCATTATGAAAATGAGAAGACAACATTTTCCATTCAGAAAAGAAAGTTGTGTTTATTTGACTTATAACTACTCTGGGAAAGCGAAAATGGAGAAACTATTTTTCATAAATTAAATATAAAATGCAATATTATTTAAACTAAATTCGAAATAAGCCAAAAACTTGTAAATTTAAATTCTCGCTATCGTGATTTATGCTTATCGGTTTTTCATGGATGTTCACTAATGTAAGGTAACATTTCACTAAATAGTTCACTCACAAATAAGGTCTACTCAATATTCTTTCATAAAACCTATGAGCTTGGTTCTGTTTATTAGACAAATATTGTTAAATTTCAAATTCTAAGATACATTTTCTAAAACTTCTAATGAAGCACTAAATCATTTAAAAACATCAATGAAATTTTGCACTCTTAAATTTTTCATTGGATTTCTGTATTCATTCTGCAAACCAACTTTTTGCTTTGAAAAGAAAGTGCCACAGTGTATATGTTAATAATTAAAGCAACTGTTTACCCTCGAAATCGATTGAGATCTTGATTGAAATCTACGCCAAGCTCAATGTTGTTGTGTTGCTAATTTTATATTTATATTTAGGTAATTTTGTCCCCAAAATGATTTTATTTGAACGAATTTAAAAATGTGATATTTCTTATAACAGTTAAAGATGCTCTTCAATAATTTTGAAGCGAGTAATTAATTAAGATTAATAACTGAAGTATACCTCTCATTTGCAAAATTATATATATTTTAATTTTTACGAAAACTTAATTATGCCATATATTCCATTTTAATTCTAATTTTTAATGAAGTTCAATAAATCGTTTAATAGTATGTAGTATATAACAATACGTTTACGGAAATTTAATTGTTACTTTTATTTCAAATGGTCGAACACTTCTAAATTAAGGCATTCGTCTAGTCGAAAATAAGTATCCTTTTTACTCACCGTTCCATTATGTCTTTACTATACTTTTATTATCGCGCCGTTAATATTTTAATTGAATTTTTCATTATAAAAATATTTTGAATGACACAAAAATTCATGCTTACGTATTTTTAAATTTAAACATATTAATCTGATATAAAATACGAAATCTAACTTTTTACACGTTCCTGCGGTCTATAGAAATATATTTAGAAAATATTATTATACAGGAATGCATTCAGAAAATTCAGCACTCGTTATAAAAAAAGGAACACAAAATGTTTGACACCCGCTCGACATGTATGGACGAAGATATTTGTTTTAAATTTCAACCTCACGTTCGGAAACCGTATAACAGCTTAAAGAGCGAAACGCTGCTATTTCAAAAAATTTAATACTGTTATATGCTAGCGTATTTTTAAACTCATAAATTACTTGTATGAAAATTCTTCTAGTATATGAAATGTAACAAAAGTATAAGTAAAAACATTAGTAAATCACAAACTAATATCATTGAGTGGCTTTTAAGGGAGAATTCAACCTCGGATTATTCTAATTTTTTATTAACCGACCCCTCAATGCAAATCCAAAATGAGGCCGAAGATCGGAATTTAGAAATTAACATTTCAGTGAACTTTTGTTGTGCAGAAGTAAAACGTTTTGTGTTTTAGGTTTTATAATATTTTAGAAAATGTATACAAATCTCCTAAATGTGCGTATAGGGAATGGAGGAAAGTAGAAAAATTTGTGTTTTGTATTTTGTAGCAAACCAAAAAGCTGCAAAATCGCTAAACCAAAATTCTTAAAATCACCAAAAAGTGGTAATATCGCTGAACACTGGTAATTCGGTTTGGCTTTCGGATCCCGGAAAATGGGCTGGCTGCATGGGCGTTTTCGTGGTTTTTCCCATGTGTAACTTATGTACTAGCGAGTTTCTTTTACAAAGTCCTCCACGAAGGCATCCCTCTCCTTAGGAAGATAGCGCTTGATGATTTGCCATAATTAAATAAACCAAATGAATAAACGCATTTTCTATGAAATTATTTTTAGTCCGAAGGGGGCTTTGTCCCTGTAGGACTATTGTTTTCGTTTTGCGATTTTACATTGGTTCACTATAAATGTCCGTTTCACTTTTCAAACTGTTGTCACCAAATGTTAGAATCCTGCATTATATTTGACGAAATTAAATAATGAAGAATCTGCATAAATGTATGTATGTTTCTCGCATTGTGATAAAACAACGGTACCTAGAGTCATCGAATTTTGAATGACGTAATCCTCCTACGAATATGGGCAAGTGGTAGCCCAAATTTGAAATTTGGAATTCGTTTTATTATCGATTTCATAGTTTGTAAAACTTTAACGAATTTTTGGTTAGCAAACTCAAGGAATTCAAAGCGAGCCATGGCAACGTTGTACAGAAAAAACATCTTTATCTCCAGCGCGCGAGTCTCCGTATCGGAAATTCTAAAGATATTCTTATTTTAATTCTATTTTGCAATATTACAGCTGAACTGAATTTTACGGTTTAACTGCGAAAAACGTGATATTTAATAAATAAGTGTAACACACAAAATGTTGGGAAAACGCCCCTTTGGACGTAATTTGAGATCTGAAAACTTTCAGATTTTTTTTTTTTTATTATTATTATTATTTAAAAATACGAAAGGTAATCATGTTTGTGCACTTTCATTTTTGTAACTGGCTGGGTAATAACTGGCTTTGACCAGCAGCTGGATAAACCGGGCAAGCAATGGGGACACGATGAATATAAGGAGGTATTATTACCATTACCCAGATGAAGAACAATATTTAAAAAAAAAAGATAGCATCAAAATACTAAGAAAATTGAAAATATTTAATTAATTTTAAATATTTTATGTACTAAACATAAGTCGAAAGTACTATTAATTAAAAAATCTGATGTGTACACCACATGACTTCCTTGTACGGAATATTAAATTATACGAATTTTTTCTTGCATTTCGTTTAAACTTATTGGATAGAACTAAATCTATTTCGCCGACAGCGCATAAACCACAATAGAATAAATGCATTCTTTAAAATTCACTCTAGTATTTGTTTACGATATCGACACTCTGGCGCTAGGTTCACTTAACAGTATTATATTTCGTTCATATTATAACTCAGAATGCACAAAATTTATATCATTTAAAGAATTATCTAATCTTTGCCAAATGTTCTATTCAAACACTATAATAAAGCTAGAACGATGTATAAAAGAAATTAAGCAAGCAAAACAAAAAAGAAACAGTTTTTCACAGACGATTGACTATTTCTCTTTCAATTAATTCAGTTCTCACTTCGCGACAAAGCAAAAATATATAAAAACTCAAAGGCCCACCAGCGGCTGAGCGGTAAAGTCGCTGAACACTGGTAGTTCGGTCCGAGGTTCGAATCCCGAAAACGGGCTGGCTGCGTGAGTGTTTTCGTGGTTTTCCCCATGTGTAACGTGTATACGAGCCAGTTTCCCTTAGAAAGTCTTACACAAAGGCATCCCTTTCCTTAGGAAGATAGCCCTAGTGTGCTTTGCCATAATTAAATACACACCATAAAAACTCAAAATATCTGTATTAAAAATTACGAAGTAAATCTTAAACACATATTTTCTCGAAAAAATTCCAGAAAGGATTAAGCATGATTTAATTCGCAATAATAAATGAAGGCGCTATTTTTGTTGTTGCGAAGCTACGTTTCTCTAGATTGGTGACAAATCCACTACTCTGCTGTTTCAAATGTAAAAAAGCAATGGCCACCCTCAAAAAAATTATTAGGCTTAGCGGCACTTAAACAACTTTAAAATTGTTGATAATTCTAAAAATATTGCATACAGATTTACTAAAGGCATAAAAACCTTAACCGGAAGATAATAGCAACATAATTCAATCATTTTTAAAGCAAAAAAAGTACAATTTACAAACATATAAGAGTAAAGAAACTGAAATCACTGAGCCGGGTAACACAGTGGATATATATATAAATATATTTACATACGTTTGGTGCGGCCGATTGCAACCAAAATACGAAGTGCACATCTACATATTTTAGCAGTCCTTTATAAAAAATTTCAACGTTCTGAGGCTACTCGTTTTTGAGTTATGCGAGATACGTACGTACGTACGTACATACGTTCGTACAGACGCCACGAAGAATTCTCTTCAGAATTCATTTTAAAGCAGCTTCATAATATTTTTTTGTAGGAAAAGAGTCTTTTATTCTCTCCTTACGTACAGATATCATGTAAAAACATCGTTAAATTGCATTCGAAAGCGGTCAAAATGGATATTTTCGTTGAAATATGCTGCCTGAAACTTTTCGCGATTATAATACTTCCTTTTTACTTCGTACAAGGAAGTAAAAATTATTATTATTATTTAGATAAAGGAAAACACGCGAGAGCTGTCTGCCTCGAAAAATTGCGCTTTTTTGAAGGCTTTTTAACAGGGAAAGCTCATATACGTTTAATTTAGTTAGACAACATAGGTCTAAATAAACTTCCATACAGCAAGCTCTTCGGGATTTGAACCTGTTCGTGATACCAGTATTCAGCGGTAACATCAATCGGCCTGTGGAGTACATTAGTTTAAATGAGTTGATTACAAATCTGAAAAACACCGCTTTATGGCAAATATAGATCACAGTATTTGTTTTGTATATAAAAGTAATTGATACTTGAGAAAATAATTTAAAGTTTTATAATGTGAAATTTACTAAATTATTAAATATTCGTGAAATTTAGAGTATTTTCAAAAACTCTCAACCTACTTATTGAATGAATATAACTTCATGTAACTGTTTGGGACTTATAAAATCGGACCTATTAAAAAGACATACTTTCGTATTGGAAATATTGATGGCCATCTGACTCATGGATCTGGCCTAATGGCTAACCATTTAGGATCTGTTACAACAACAAAACCAACGTATACTTTTAAGCAGCTCCCTAGTAACAAAACATCAATAAAAACAGCTTTTTTTTTTAATAAAGAAGGGAATTTTCGCCATACATGAATAGGAAATATTTCTGCATTTACAAAAATTTAAAATCGAGAAACGTAAGTATTTCTTTCTGCAAAAAATGATAAAATTGTTTTAAAATTTAAACTAAACCTGAATGCTTAAAAAAGAAAGGAAATACAAAAATTTCGTGAATATAATAAGCAAGCATTTCATATAATATACTAAAAATCTTACCACCATTTTATTCGATTTAAGTCAAAATTATCAGCTCCGAAATGCAACTTCAAAATGTTTATGTCGTCTCTTCGAATATCTAAAGCTTTTATACCAAATGTTTTTGAGTAACAAAACTGAATTTTATATTACAAAATTTATTTAAAAGCAGCTGAATATGCTTCCGCTTCCTTTTCGAAATATGTATATTTTGCGTAATTATATGTAACATACCATGACTATGGAACATAACATGCTGACTAAAGCTGCGCAGTGATCAGTTCATTGAATTTTGATTTCCTCATGCATTAACAGCTATTGTTATACCTTTTTACAATAACAAATCCTATGGCAGCATTGATGTGGGGAAAATAATAAAAAGGGAACTGTTTTTGAAAGAGATTCATAACTGCAAGCGGAAAATTTCCAATTGTAAGAATGTTCACCTTTCAATTATTGAGTTTCAATAAGTTTGCATTTACACTTTCCACCTATTCAAATATAGCAGTTTGAGAGGTGATGGATCCGTCGAATCATATAACTCTGTACGCACGTAATACCCTTGTTACTTTATCTTACAATGTGGGGAATTCCGTAGAACATCGTAAATATTTTGAAGTTAATTTAGATATAAGTTCTATTCATTTTTAACATTTAATCTCATTTTTCATAAATTAATCTTCATCATTTTGCATTTAGCGTATTACAGCAGGTTTCTATTTTTACTAACGATTATTGTAATTCGGGTCTATGCTGTGGAAATCTCAAGATCTCCAAAACTTAGAAATTTTTTAAACTAGCGAAAGAACTTATATCCAACTTGGAATATTATAACTGATGAATGATATTTTTGTCGGCATTTAACTTTTGTCGGCAATTTTTTTTAAACCAAAAGAGCTATTAGTCTAGAAATGGGACTTTGGGTTGTTCATTATAAAACGACATATCACTTTTCAAATATTTTATATTACCAAACATTATATCATCTTGCGTTATTTTTAACGAAATTAAATAACGAAGAATCTGCATGTATGTACATATGTTCCTCGCATTGTGAAAAAACAACGGTATCTAGAGCCATCATATTTTGAATAATGTAGTCTTCCACACAAACATGGGTATTTGGAAGCCGAATTTTTGAATTTCTGATTTGCTTTAGTATTTAGTTTAGTAAATCTTTAACGAATACTTATTAACGATATAATTTATGCAACGATTTAAACACGAGCAGTGGCAACACTGCACCGAATAAAACACTTTCATCTCCAGAGCGCGAAACTGTCTATCGGAAATTCTAAAGATTTGTTGTTTTTGAAGATGTTTGTGATTTTGCTGTTGAATCGAATTTTATGTGGCCTAAAAATGGTGGTAAAGACATCCTAGTAAGAAAACCGAATACTGATTGGGATAAACTGAGAATAGACTGAAAAAAGTAGAAAAATGGGCTAAAGTGCAGAATCGCCCACTTATTTGTCTGGCTATTTTTACAAGAGTAAGAAGAATTAGATTTTTGCCAATTTTCTTTGACTTTTTAAGTGAAAATAGGTCGATGTGTACATGGATAGCTAGTATGTGCAATTCTTAAAAACGCGCCAAGCAGTGGGCGATTCTGCACTTTTCCCGAAAAATATATGCCAACACTTAATGCTGCATCGGGAGTTCTAAACGTATGCTACTATACTACTTTTAAAATTTTTGTGATTTTGCTACTGAATTGTGTATGGAGTAACTGCAAAGAAATGATGCATTAAAATAAAGGTAAAAGGCAGGGGAGAAAGGGATTAACAGGCGTGAGTGCAACAGCAGACTGGCATAGTTCGACCGTCCCAAGCGCAACCCTGGTTGGCATTCTACCAAAACACATAGACTCATCCAAAAGGGACGGTATTACTTGCTGCGACTTGAAAGGTCTTCTCTTCTTCGGAAAGAGCTATGCTGGAGGGAAAGAAAGTCCCCATCCTTCCACACTATTTTGAGAATAATTCGGTCCGAATAGCGCATACGTGTTTGCTCTCATGGTCGCAGATGAGGCGGTCGAATAACTTGAGATCTCAGCATGAGCGTGAAAGTAGTTAAGAAACTTTTGGGCGGAATCTACATGAATGTATGTATGTTTCTCACATAGTGAAAAAGCAATGGTACCTAGTGTCATCAAATTTTGAATAGTTTAGTCCATCACCCGAACATGGAAATCTAAAAGCCCGAATTTGGAATTTTTATCTGTTTTATTGTTTATTTTATATTTTTTAAATCTTTAACGAACTTTCGATTAAAAAAATTCAACAATTTCGAAGCGAACAATGGCAACATTGTAGGAAATAAAGCATTATTATCCCCAGCCCGCGGAAATTCTAAAGACTTCAAAAATTCCTAAATACTTTTAAGAAACTTTTATTTTCTTCATGTCTAATGGAACATCTTCTGGAATTTAAAAAAAAAAAAAAGAAAAAGAAAGAAAGAAAGAAAGATATATTTATCTGGGATTTCATAAGTGTTTCAAAAATGCGATCAACAAGCAATACTTTAAAATTTACTTCGAGTCTTTCGAATAATCTTCAAGGTGTTTAAAAAGTGCGAAAATTGTTGATACTGAAAACTAGCTGGTGCCATAAATCATGAGTGGTATTTATTCCGTATGTGTGCCTGATGAAAGCGACACAAAAATCCAAGTATGTCCGATGGTTTTTAAATTTTTACCATCATTTCTCGGCTTTAAAATTCTACAGTTTTTATTTTACTATTTAAGTTAATCATAATTTAATGCAGTTAAAAATGTTTTTATAATCATAGCATAAAAAATGCGAATTTTATAATAATAAATATCTTGATTTTTTTAATTTTGAAACTATTTTGAGAATGAGATAAATATGAAAATAAAAATTAATGAAATAATTTTGAATATTAGTATAGAAAAATTTAATAAAATTTTGCTTTTGGGTGTAAATGTGAAAACTGTAATATTGATTACTGTTATAATTAATTAATAACTGTGTGCAAAGAGAGAATACGTAAACACAAACAAAGACTCCCACCTTATTAATAAATATTAATTTTTTTATATAGTCATTATTTTTATTTTATATTTAATATATAATATTAATGTGGTTTTAATTTTTAATTCCTTGTACGCTGTATAGGTTTGGTAAGCTGTTACTAAATCGCTGTATAGGAAGTATTGTAATCGTGAAAAATTTTGGGTTTCATATTTCAACTAAAATATTCATATTGACCGCTGAGTCCATTTGATGTATTTACGTTACGTCTTTGCGTACGGACAGAATAAAGGACTCTGTATTCCAAAATGGATTGTAAAAAGGATTGAGAAGATATTTTTTCTTGCGTAAGTATGTACATACATACATAAAACGATTACTCTCAGAACGTTGAAATTTTGAATATGAGACATCTATACATGTACTAGTTGCGCCTCTCCTTTTTTGGCCGCACCAAACGTCTATAAATATGTGCATATAGAGAGATATATATATACCCAACCTGTTACCTACCTCGATGAGCTCAGTGTTTTTATTCTTATATGTTGGTAAATTGTGTATTTTTTGCTTTAAAAGGGATTTAATTATAATGTTATTATGTTCTGGTTAAGGTTTTTATACTTTATATTAATCTGAATGCAAAAATTGTAGAATTATCAACAATTTAAACGTTGTTTAAGTAGTACTAAGTCTCATAAGTTACCTACAGACCCGTAATTCTTCATTTTAATTTGGTTATTTCTACTTCTGTCTATAATCTTCCGCTCCATAAATTACAAACCAGATACAGCATTAAGGAAAAGATGTAAAATTACTTCATGCACCAGCAGAAAGTTCATTAAATTTATAACCTGTTATCTTCAAAAAGCCCATAACAATATTGTATCTTCCTCCAGTAGGTCAAAACTCAGTCTGCAGAACTCCTAACAAAAACAGTACAGAATCACTGAAAAAAAAAAAAAATCAGGCCCAAGGCCTCTGAAGAAAATGTAGAATTAATTGGTTTACTTCCTGCCTGGGCAAGAAAGGAATAAGACGGAAGCCTTGTATTGGTAAATGTACGCAGCAAGAAAAAGATGCCGCATACGTAAGATATTATGAATGAAAAGCAAATTATAGTAAAATGATTCTCACAGCCTAAAGGAATTGCTGAAGAAAATTCTGTTTCGGTAATAAACATAATTACGGAACATCCACAAAATTTTCATAAGCACAGTTTTAAAGTCTACTCAACTAAGACTTACTGCCTCTGCGTATCTCTAATGCTGAACAATGAAGACGTAGAACTATGAAAAAAAGTATTTCTTCTCAATGGCCCATAGCTTGATAATATAATTCAGATAACATTAAGAAGCAGTAAAATAACTCCACTGCCTACAACAAATGATATAATGTTTTCAGTTTCAGAAACCACAGAAATAGCCATGATGTTGCTAAGAAATAAAGCTGTCGGCCCAGATGAGATAAGAAGCTCAATAACTAACATAATTCCAAAATTTAAGAAACATAATTTTACAGATCTATGCTATAAGTGCCTGAAACTACACACTTTTCCTTTCTGCTTCAAGACGGGTCAATTCATATTTTACTCCAAAGACCATCGAGATCCCAGAACCCAAAGCTCATCAAAAGTGGTCCAAATGGTCCTCCAAAGCCGCCTGGCTCCAAAAAATGGCATTTTCCAAGCAGAACTATAGGCCATTAAACAGGCACTAGCTTTCTGCAGCGAAAATAATGTAACCAGCAGATAGATACTTACAGATTTCCAATCCACAATTCTCGCTCTCAAAAATATAAATCATAAGTATGGATCAGCATCACTTCTTAGAAGAAGCCTGAATCACATAGATGAAAGGACTGAAAAAGCTGCCAAATCGGCAACCTTCAGAAAAAAAGCGGCTTGCGTCATTATTCCTTAACCAAAACCTCATTTTAAATAAAATTTTAAACGAATTCGAGAAATAATATGGCAGCAGGAATAGATCAGTGGAGACGCAACAAGACGCCTTTTACACTTTCTCCCAAAAATTCAGTACTGAATCATCTAGCTCAATTATTTGATAAACTGGTTTATAATATGTCATGGAGCCTTTCGCATATACTTCTTCGAAAGGAATATCCTCATCTCAGATGACTGTAAATATACGGAAAGGGGGGTCCTGCCCATT